CATGTAGGGTGCAGGATCGATTAAGGAGGATGCAGTGTGGATGCAGGAGGATGCAGTGTGGATGCAGGAGGATGCAGTGTGGATGCAGGAGGATGCAGTGTGGATGCAGGAGGATGCAGTGTGGATGCAGGAGGATGCAGTGTGGATGCAGGAGGATGCAGTGTGGATGCAGGAGGATGCAGCATGGATGCAGGAGGATGCAGCGTGGATGCAGGAGGGAGGGTGCAGCATGGATGCAGGAGGATGCAGTGTGGATGCAGGAGGATGCAGCGTGGATGCAGGAGGATGCAGAACCAGCCACTTGTTTAGAGCAGCTATGGGGTCAATCCAAGCACCCTCCCCACCCTGGCAGTGCTGGTCCTCCCTGGGGGTGTCCCCTGCTCCCCACCATCCCAGGAACTGCTATGGGCTGGTGATGCCTCTCCTCTGCCCTGTTCTCTGGTTTCAGCTCTCGGTGCTGACTCAGAGGTTCCCTTCGCTCCATCCCCAGCTCACGCTCTGTCCACCACAGCCTTTATTGGCGTTCCCCTGTTCCAGCCTCCGCCGCTAAAAATAACCCATTGCTCCGGCGGGGAGCACTTGCAGCTCCCACAATGAGGAGGTCAAGAAGCAGCAGGCGAACGAGCTCTTTGGGAAGCTTGCAGCATGGCAGAGAAATTTCCTGATGAATATTTCACAAAGCTCCATGCTGCAAGGGGAGGGGGAGCTGGGGGAGCCCTGCTGCAAGGAACTTGGCTGCCCATGGAGCGGGAGGCACCGTGGCTCAGCCGGTACCTATAGGGGCACCTATATGGGAGCCTATATGGGCCCCCTGTGCGCGAGCTGTGGGAGGCTGTGCTGGGACCAGGGCCGTGCTTTTGTCTAACTCCTGTGCACGTGTGACTGTCTTTGCAGAAGGCAACCTCTACGCTGTTGGGGGATATGACAGCTCATCCCACTTAGCCACTGTAGAAAAGTATGAGCCCCAGGTAAATACATGAGGGAGCGTGCCTGGTAACCCTTTTCCTTCTCCCCTCCTGGTGGGTCCGTGAAAGAGTCCTGCAGAAAGCTGAGGGCTGCACGAGTTGCTAGAGAGCTGAGCAGACAGCAAGAGCTCAGCTGTACATGGTCTCTTAGCAAACATAGCTTATGAGGTGACCGCTTCCTAGCAAAGCGTTGCAGCAGCAGTGGAGCAGAAGGTGTGCCTGCACGAGCCTGTGTGGCACACACCTTTCTGCCTCCTTGGACCATTAACCCACCCCGCGTGACTACGAGATGCAGCAGGTACCAGCCCCCTCCCCAGCTCTTCTGCAGGGGCAGAGCATCCGGGGTGCGATCAGAGCAAAGTGAGCCAACGTGCATCCATGCAGGCTCTGAGACATCTCCTTGAGATTTTTTTCAACCACCAGAACGCTCTCTGTTCCCCGTGCCTGTAGGCCAGCTCGAGTTCTCCAGGAATAAACAGTTCTTGTTCGTGCCCTGAGCTGTCCCCAGCGTCCAGCTGAGGTCCTTGCTGCGTG